ACATCCAACTCCACCACTTGCACCACCACATTTACTACCTCCACAACCACCCCCACCACCACCACCACAACCACCACATCCTCCTCCTCCTCATCCTCCGCCACCACCGCCTCCAACATCACCTCCTCCTCATTCACCACCACCACCACCACCTCCACCTCCACCACCACCACCACCATCACCACCTCCTCCAAAACCTCCACATCCACCACCACCACCACCATGATGCCACTACCACCACCACCACCTCCACAACTGCCATCCCCACCACCACAACCATCAACTTCGCCTTCATCTCCACCATCACTATCACTACCATTACCACCACAAGATTAGTGCATAACACTTTTAACATCATGTCTATTTTAGTCATTATTCACAGTTACAACAATTTTATATTAAAATTTACCAAACGGTTTTAACACTGCTTTTTGTACTAACAGCACTTTAAAAATAGTGTTTACCAAACATGGAGCTGCTTTACTTTACAGCTAATTATTTTTAAAGCACAGCAGAAGCAACTTTTTTTAAAAGTGACAGCAATCCCAAACTAGGCCTAAAACATAAGATTCTTTTTTGCACGTTTGTATTAATGCTGTAGATATATATATTTTTAAATTTTTTTGGTGAACGAAAGAAAGTTTAGGGGGAAAAGTGGAAATGGAAGCAATCGTGCCCGCGAAGCTGTGTTTGAAACACAAGTATATAAAACTATATCGTCCCGCCAGGCCAATCCGGTCCTGCGCCAATAATAACAACTTGCTTCAGATATCATCAGCCCTCCCTCGCACCCAAACCCTAGAAGTTGCAGAACCAAACACATACACAGTGAGAGAGATAGAGAGATCGAGCGATTGGGATGCTGTTAATCTTCTACATTGCACTCTCGTAGATAAGGAGCCAATTAGGGATTGCAGAGAGAGGGGAATTGGAATTGGAATCGCGAATTTGGCATTACAATGCCCAAAGTCCAGATCGGTAATGATCTCTTTAATTCAACTTGTTGTTTATGTTTTTTTTTTTATTAATCTGAATCTTGAGCTATATTTGTTCCTTGCATTTTGCCGAGATTTATGTGAAATTAATTGCATTTGCTTTGCTTGATTATTGTTTGTTTTCTTAGCATTGCTCTTCATTAGACCTGGTTGATTTTTCACCGGATCTTTCAGTTTTCAGAAAATGTTTGTCACTTACAACAGACTGAATTTTAATTCTTTCTCACTACTACAGACGTTTTATGTTTCTGGAACATTATGATTTTTGTCGCTATGGTTACTTGTTTTACTTATTTTTGGTTTTGTGATATTTATTTATTTATTTATGTCAAAACTCAGAGATGGGTTGTGACCCAATTGACAGTGAATTGGATGATGTCGACTATGTCTCTGGGCTTAGTACTTTACTTGTTGCCACCATTCAGGAAGCCAAAGACAGGATTTCTCAGATTGAATATGTGTTCTGCAGCCAGCTCTACCCCTATTTCCAATCCAAGTCTAAAAGCTTTCAGAAATTTGAAGATGAATGGAAAGACAAGGAAAACGATCTCTTTCGTCAAATTGAAACACTTCGAGCTGAAAAGCAACAAACCCTTGAAGAGAACCGCTCACTCAAGCTTGACAAGGAAAATCCATCCAAGAATCAGGAAGCGAAGATGAATCAACTACTTGCTGAACTGAAAAGTGTACAACTCAAAGGCAATGAGCTTGAACAAATGCTTAAGCAGAAGTCTGTGGAGGTCGATGAGGGAATGGAATTGCAGAGTAAGTTGCTCGTAGTGATTCAGTCGAAAGATTCTGTCATTGTGGATAAGGAAAAACAACTTAAAGAGAATGAAGAAGGTAGAAATGTGCTTCTTGCCAAACTGAGTGATCTTGAAAAAAGAGTTGATGAACTCCAAGAGGAGCTAGGAGAAAAGATTGACCTAGTAACCAAGGGAAATGAGCTTAAAGAAAATTTATTCCTGAAGATTGAGTATCAGGATGCTGAGATAATGAATAAAGAAAATCTTTTGAAGGATCAGGAAGAAGAGAAAAAACTTATTCTGGCCAAATTAAAACTTTTGGAAGAAAACGTTGGTCAACTCCAAAAGGATCTCCTAACAAAGAACGACGAAGTGGAGGGTTGTGTGAAGGAGAAAAAACTGCTTCTGGTCAAAGTAACTGGTTTAGAGGAGAAAGTTAATGAGCTACGGGAGGACCTCAGGGGCAGGGTCAGCGACGTGACCAAAAGAAGGGATTCGGGGGAAAAGTTACATAAACAGATTGAATCAATGAACTCGAATTTACTGGCTGAGAGGAAGAAGTACACGGATCTTACTGTTGCTTACAAAAGGCTGAAATCTCAGCACAATTATCTCCGCACAAAGCATGGTCTTACTAGGGAGAATATGCTCCCCCAAAACAAGTTGGAAGATGGAAGTGATTCATTGAGAAATGATCACAATCCATCAACTTCCCATGGTATGATGCTCTTGCTTTTTTCTTTTTTCCAACTTTATTACTTATTTTTTTGCAAAATGAAATATAAATACACTGTCAGAAACTATTAGTTATTACAAAAAATTATGGTGATCTACCAAATAGAGTTGCTAGATGATTTTTGGTTGGCTGATCTTCGTCTGTAACTTTGATTTGAAGTCTCAGTTGTATCTTTTACTTTTAAGAACTTCCTTTGGTTCCTAATTTCATAGAATTAGGCGAATAGTAGGCATGCATTTACTTTTAGCCTATGGTTGGTTTTACCACTATGATTTCATTTGCTGGTATCCTTTGTTTAATCCATTAACCTATTGCAAAAATGGTAGGTTTTGTAGACCAAAATCAGCATGCTTCTGCAGCAGCTGGTTACGTGAAAAAAGTGAAGAATGAAATCAGTTGTAACAATAACTTGGAGAATGAGAAAGGAGGCAAGCTAACTCAAGAAACTAGTCCTCACTCTCCTACTTCCATCTTCCCCGTTGCACCAAAATGCCCTCCCACTGCAAAATCTGCCCCAGTAGCTGGGAGAAAAAGGCCTGCTGCCTGCTGGATAGATACTAGGTCCCGTCAAGGCCAAGGTGGGCCTGACCCGCATGATGATTTTCTTGATACTCCACTGGAGAACATCAGAGGAAACTTGAATAAAGCCACAATGGAACAAGTTCCTGATCTTCCAGTTCCAGTTCCAAATGACATGAACCTAGATAGCTCAGATGATGAAACACAGGATGTGAATGCTGTAATTAGGCCGCAGAAGCAGCAGATTCCAGTTCCAGTGGCCGGCAAAAATGGTTTCAAGTTTGTGGAACCTGTAAGAAAGAAAGCTGAGCGGGAAAATTTGAAAGGAGTTGAATGCAAGCAGTGCAAAAAGTTCTATGATGCTGTTCTTCCCAATGATGGCGGTGGTAAGGACATTGATAAAAATAAGCATAATTTCCGCTGTGAGCACCATGAAGGTGTTTCTCGACATCGGTATAGGTATGCGCCTCCTCTGACCCCGGAAGGATTTTGGAATATTGGATTTGAATCTGAAATGTGATATTGAGAAATTCGTTATTCATTGATTTTTATTTTATTTTTTCGGAGAGCAATAACTTGTATTGATATTTAATTTCATATTTCCAACTCTGTGGGTCTTAAAAGGACTCAAACAGGGAGTATTACCCAAAAGGTAGAATAGGAGCCATGCCAGAAACGATAGTTCTTGTATTTGTCAAATAACTCTTTTTCCTGAACATTTGTCTATTCTAGAAAGAATAGTTTCATAGTTTTACATCCTCATGTATGCCCCATATTACAGGACACAGTATTAGAGTTTTAAATTCTGAGAATTTGAGCATATAAACTCATCCGTTAGATATGTTGGGTTGAGAAGTGAACATTATGTATAGCATGGGTGTTTGGTACGAAATTTTTTTATTTCTTCTTTGTGGAATTTCCTTGGTTTGAAAAGCCTGTTTGTTCTGATTGTGCGTCACAACAGCTTCCTATAGTGAATTAGATGTTAGGGAAAAGGAAAACCTCTTCATGTTAGTGGGGTAATTCAAGTGATTGATTTCATTGTCACTAGGCCCTCAAGTGTAAGTATAATTGTTTTGCAGAAAGAGAAGGTCAATTTATCATTTTGGTATTCATACCCTAGTTTATCCATATAAAGTAAATTGTTGGTACCTACTTCGCATCTTTTAAACTCTCTAATGTCATTACTATAGCATCCAATTCTCTGAATTACTAGTATCCAGACCAAATGTCTCATTATTAGATGAAGCAAATTAAGTGTGCGTTTGAACTGGTCTTATAGTTTCCTCTTGTATTAGGTATAGTTTCCTTCTTGATGTACCCTTGAAAATACATAATCAGGTGTGTAATTAGGTTAAATGAGTCCTTTACCATTAGAATCTTGGATGTGCATGTGCTGTTCTTTGCTGTAGTGCCAAAGAAAACCTTAAAGTCATTTTCTGCTGATTCAATAATTCGACACATTTTGCACATAGGGTGGCACCACAATGGAAAAGTGGGTCAAACACCTCCCCCTCCCCCCAAGTGCACTCGGGTTCGATTCACGCAAGAGACAATCTTGAGGCAACCTAATATAATACTCCCCCCTTCCTCTCCCTAGCGAATGATAAAATAAAAAATAAAAAAAGGACACATTTTCTGTTATTATAGAATGATCATAAAATTTTCAGGAAATAACATTATGACAACATTTTAGCACAACAACCAGGCTTGTATTGTATGCCCCATTATTAAGTCAGAGAAAAAAAAATAGTAAGAAAAATGTGAGAGTTGATTTATGGTGAAGCATGGGATGAGGAAGATGTCCCCTTTACTGTATTTAAGGAGGCTGATGAGTGGAGGTACATACAGAGAGACCGTGCTATTGATATTGAATTCTGAATTGAATTGTTGGAGCCAATTTGTTCATATCAATATTCCGTTTTTGGCCTCTTCAGCTTCAGATCCTGACTGGTCTTGTGACTCTTGTCCTCCCATGGGATAAAAGGTAGGTGGGGGGTAATGGTGTAAACCGGCGCATGCTAGTAAAAGCATACTTATCTTTGCCACCGTGCGCTATGAGTTAAATTGTTTGTGTACGGTGGGAGTGGGGGCAGGCAGTGTCTGTCGACTGGCTGTCTTGGTGCGTAAATTCAATTCAACGTGGGAATAGTTAAGAGGAAGTGCTCTGTAGGACTAGGACATATAGTTTATGTATTTATTTGCTGTATATGTATGAGACCCTGACCTCGCTTCTTAGCCTTCCAGTTTTGGGAACTGCTGCTCAACCCAACATGAATGGTGGCAAGTTAATGCTTGCAACTACCCACCTTGTATATGTTGATCTATTGTTTGTGATCGCGGGTTAATAATGGTTTGTACAATTGCATTGCCTAGTTTCTTGAAATAACCGACTGTTTTCGTGAAATAAATATGTATGTAACATGCAACCTAAGTTGTTATAGTACAATTTTGTCTATTTTATTTGCATGTTTCATTGAAAATGCTTTTTTATACATGCAAGAGAATAGGGAATGTTCTCGAGACCGACCAAACCAAACCAAAGAGATTGATTGATTTAGTCGCCTTATCCAAATAATTTGAGGCCTAAAATGAACAAATTCGAACCATAACTCTGTATCTAATTGCCTTGTTTTCTGCTGGAAAAGACTTTTTAACCTTTTTTTATTCTCTTCTTTTAATATACGAAGAAAGAAAAGGATGAAATCTTTTCAGCTTTGAGATTTGAAGCACCCTAGCTTTCCGAGTCATATCAGCAATATCCCATTTCCAATTATTCCACACATACATCACGGGGATATAGTTGTCGGCATCTTTTTCCACTAACTTCAGATCTCTTTGTCTCAAACTTATGATGGAATTTCATGTGCTTGCATTTTTGTGAACTCCAAAGTTAAAGCTAAATCACTACTTCAACCAAGAAAGCAGATAAAAATCCTTAAATCAAGGTTCCATCACAAAAGAACTAAAGTTGGGACCCTCTTAGATTACATCAATTTGATCATCTATGTTCTTTTTTCACATAACGTAACATTGTAACATTCGTTTATTTTGTTTGAAGAATGTTATGTTGTCAAACTATTAATATGAGCTACACGTGATTCCAATATCGGCCAAATTAACAGTTGGGCAATATGATCTGGATGTCTCCAAGGCCAAAGATATTGCAAATGAAAAGAATAGGACGCATTACCTTGTAGATAATTCAAATACGAAATATAAAGTAGGTGAAGTTTGCTAACTCACTCTATGAATCTTATGAACAGTTATTGAGTATATGATGCTCTGTTTCACGTGCATGCATCTGCATTCTGCATTCTGCCTTATCTTTGTCCTTTTCAACTCCCGACACAAACGACAAATTCTTGTAGGCGTAGCTTTTAAATTTCATTGCAGGTTTGAAAAATTAAACCACATAATATAAATTGTTACAATTACACACATATTATAAAATAAAAAACAACTGCCCGGACCGAAACGAAACGAAACGAAACCGATACAATAACTTACAATCCCTATCGGCCGAATCATATTCATTGAATCATTACCATGATTAACAAGTCTTTAATGGATTCCCGCAGAGACAATCATTGTTGGCAAACGACGACGCTTCGAGGTGATCGAATGGGTTGCCCACCGGAATGGTCCCACACAAGTGGTTGTGGCTCAGATCCAAGTGCCCGATATATTTGGCCGCCGATAGCGAACCGGGTATCGGCCCCTTCAAATTGTTGTACGACAAATCCAGCGCCATGAAATACGAATTTCCGTGGAAAACGTCCGGTATGTTACCTCCAATGCTGTTTCGGCTCAAGTTCAAGATGCCCAAACCCCGATTGCTCAAAAGGGCGGAAGGCAATTGACCCGAAATTAAGTTCCCGTCCAAATTCAGCGTCGAAAGAACCTGCATTTTTCCGAGACAGTCCGGTACACTACCGGAGATCCGGTTCCTGGACAGGTCCAAGTCGGCTAACCTGTTCATGTTGCCGATGGAAACAGGGATGGACCCGGTGAGCTGGTTCCGATTCAGCAAAGCCCGGCTCAGCATCTTGAGTTTCCCGAAATCGGCCGGCATTTCGCCCGAGATTTGGTTGTTGCTGAGGTCCAGGTGCATTAACCCGGACATGCTTACTACGCTAGCGGGAATCTTGCCGGATATCTGGTTGTCGGCAAGATTGAGGATGGCGAGCATCTTGAGGTTTCCGATATCGGCCGGAATATCGCCAGAAATCTTGTTTCCGATAAGGTCGAGGACTCGGAGATTGGAGAGTGAAGTGAGGCATTTGGGGATCTCGCCGGTGATTCCCTTCCAGTCTGCTACAATGAGGGTGGTGAGGCGGTCGAGTTTGCAAATTTCGGGCGAGATGGAGCCGGACATGAACCCGGACTGACCCGATTTGGTGAGTATCGGGTCCTCCGACTCGCCTCGGAGGTTAATGTCGACGACTCGCTTAGTTTCGGGGTCGCAGCTGACGCCGTACCAGTTTACGCAGCAGTCGGTTCCTACCCAGGAGTTGAAGAGACCCAAATGGGAATCGGTGAGGCCGGTTTTGAAGGCTTTAAGAGCTGCCAAGTCTGCTGGTGAACAAGAGTTCACGCTTGAGATAATGGCACAAAATATTGTCACTGAGATTAAAAACAACCTCATTTTCATATTCATGGTTGAAAGTAGAGAGAGAGCTTCTCTGTATTTGTTCACTAAGTTTTGTTGATGGATGTCTGCAAGTGTTAAATGTTTTGAGAGAGAGAGAGAGAGAGAGAGAGAGAGAGAGAGAGGGAGATGGGTTTGGGAGTTGGGAGTTGGGAGTTTTGGGGTTGGGATATATACAAGGAGTTTGGAGTATAGTGAGATTGGTTCACTCACTGTCACTGTGCATGTGATTACAGGTTTAAGGATGTAATTGAATATGGATTGCACATGTATTTGCTGATTAACACATCACATGCAAATACAGTTTAAGGCTTTCTAGACTGTGAATCCCATGAAATATATATAATATTCACCATTTACCAATGCAATTTGGTTTGGTTGTGAAAGAAGGGTGTCACCAGTCTGAATTTGCATTGAATGCAAATAGCGAGTTGTTGTGAATTTATATGCAATAGAGAAGAAATGTGACAGATACGTCAATTGGTTAAGATGGTATGTTCGTTTCTTTGTTTCCGAGTTCGATTATCCTATTTGTATATTAGAGTAGTTTAAAATATCACTTTTTTCTAATTTTTTCCAAGGTCGATCATGGTCGTATGATTTCATTTTAGCTTTAATTTTTTGCCGCAAAACTCAAAACCAAAACTAAAACTGACCAATGTGGCCATGTAATATACCTCAAATTAATAGTTCCAATTGGGAGGCTTGCCTCATAATCAACCATAGGCAGAGGCATGGGTCCCTTTCTCCACTGGCATTTGCTAATTTCCTCATATTTACGAGACATCTTTAAAATGAAAGATACAAGTTTTCATTATCTAACGCATTATAGCATGATGATGATCCACAAAATATATGTATGCCCCACCACGATCTCAATGATTGAAGGCCTTTCTCTTCCTGATTTTATTTTTGTCCCTACGTAGATTATATGATCATCATCTTCAAACACTTAAACAAGTGTTTTTATGAATTCCTAATGAATTTCTGACACCGACGTAAAAGTTTTCTACAAAATCATAATGGGTTTACTTTGTTAATTACATCCCCCATTTGCAT